AAACCTTCCAATGTTCGACGGTACGATAGTTATAAAAGTGAATATCCATGGTAGCAAACGAAGGCGACGTAAATAAAGTTTATAGAAATACTTGAACAATTATTAAATATTGTAAACCAGTCTTCATGCTGTCGTTGGGGTGTGCACAACCAACTTCAGCGTGTTACTCAATTGAAATAAAGAAATAAAGAAAAGAGTCAAACATAACCTAGAAAGCAAAAAATTAAAAAAATCTTAGTAAAAAAGCATCAATATTTCATCATCACGTGAAATTTTGAATATCATCAATAGATTTCTATAAATTTAAGTTAACAGCACGTTACTCAATTTAACGTAAACAATTTCATCACCAATGAGTTCAACATAACCTAGAAAGCACAAAAATCAAAAAATTTAGTAAAAAAGCATCATTATTTCATCATCACGTGAAATTATGAATATCAGCAATGGATTTCTATATAGTTACTGGATTATGGATCTAAATTTAGGTTAAAAGGTCCAATCCATATCAAACACAAAAAAAAAAAAATATTGTAAACAAATGTGGACGCTTATCCTCAGATGTTTGGAATTATTGAGAATCATTTTCAGTTGGCGGCAAATTTTTATACGCTTATTCTCAAATGTAGGCAATTTTTATACAAATACTTGAACAATTAATAAAAATTGTAAACAAATGTGGATGCTTATTCTCAGATGTTTGGAATTATTGAGAATCATTTTCAGTTGGCGGCAAATTTTTATACGCTTATTCTCAGATGTAGGCAATTTTTATACAAATACTTGAACAATTATTAAAAATTGTAAACAAAAGTGGACGCTTATTCTCAGATGTTTGGAATTATTGAGAATCATTTTCAGTTGGCGGCAAATGAAAATTGTTTGCAAGGACTACCGATCGATTTGCCACAAGCGCACGAAATTAGTGTAGACATCAAGACGGAACCGCCGCAGACTATTGTGGGCGCCGGGGCAGAACCGCACTTGTCTAAAAGTCTTTCAAGCTTCGATGGTCTAACAGAAGCAACAAAGCAAGAACTGTTGACTGAAAATGTAAATAAGGAAATTAATCAAAGCGACGAATGCTCTCGAAACGATGGCATTTTACGACTGGGTAACGAGGAAGATGCAAAAAGGTACTGATTAAAGTAAATTAAAATAAGAAAGAAGAGGAATATATCCATACATGTGAATTTGTAGTGGCTTACAGGAAGATGCGATGGAAGACCGTTCCCATGAAGTTTGTGAAGAAGGTGGAAGACATTCAATACCTACCTCTACTTTACTTAACAACTGCCATGTGTAAGTTGGTAACATGTTTTCGTACACGTTCTGTTCTTTCTTCGCTTCGACACAATTTTAAAATAAAAGAACAAATGATTTCGAAGGCGCGAACTTCTCAAAAACAAAGAAAAGAAGGTGTTAACACAAGTAAACTACAAAGTATTCTTACGAGATATTTGAGCAGGCTTGGAGTAAAGTGCTTTACCAATTGTTGGCATTAAAGCACGCACAATAGGAACAGACGAATTTGACTAAAATGATTAGTTAGTCACATCTGCGAAGAGATTTTTCTTCATGATAAAAATTCTTTATTACCGAAACTGTTCCCCTACATTTTGGAGGTTTGTAAATATCCATTTAAATATCGTGACCCTACTTTACAGCAATCACCCTCTTTGGCTTTTGTACGTTTTATGTGCGTTCCATCACGCGTCTGTGAGTCTTACATAAAATTGTCCTAGCCAAACCAAATTTTTCATACCAATTCAAAAGTATTGTTACTTACTGACCAAATTTTATCGAAGTATCACGTGGTGAGCTGTGATTGCTTGCTTCCAATGACCATAACGTTGGGCGGATCCCAACCTTTCTCAAAATTTGTCTATTGCCATTAGGGGAGGATATATATGTCCAATTTCAATTGAATTGGAAAATTAACTAAAATAAATTACGTTTGCGGATAATTAATAGAATTACATACACTTGAATTGATTATCATCACGTTACTAAAGCAGGACTTTCCCTTAATTTTCGCCGTTTTTTCACTTGAAGAGGCATTATTGAGAAAGAATGGTATAATATATATTAATCAAAATATTTTCCATCATTTTCTACGCCATTTTACCATAGTTCTGGCACTCTGTATTGTTGCGGTAATAAGAAGGCACCATTTCTGGTGAGTACGCTGCTTACGGCAGAACTTCCCATTTGAGGTGAAACAGTGTATCGTTGACAACAATTGCAACAAGAGGCCAAAATGGCATTTCCAGTTTATCAGTTTGTGGGGCAGCCATTTTAGCCGCTATCATTGATATTTCTTTGCGGCATTGTCCAATTTATTCACTTGATCTTGGTTAACATCTGCAGCAGCAGTTCTAAACACTTTTAGAAGCTCGTAACACACTACACCGTGCTCATCACAACAAATACGCAGCAAAACGATCGGTGTCGATGTGGATGGTGCTCCTGGACAAATCCATGACGTTTTCGGTTATTATTGTCGTAATAGATCCACTTTTCGTTGGCAGTCACAATACGCTACAGGACACTTTTCTTGTTTCCTGGCGAACAATGAAACCGCGATGTTGAAAGCGTTCGAAATGGCATTTTCATTCAATTTGTATAGTAGACAATTTTCCTCCTTTGGACCTTTCCCATTGTACGCACGTCTAGAAACACTTGATTGATCAACTGCTAAAGTGTCCGAATATTCTGTAAGAGTCTGAGATGTGTTTTCGTCCAATAAGCCTTGTAATTCATTGCCGTCAAACTTCTTTGGTCCTCTAAGCGGTTCTTTGCACTTGACATCATTACCGCCACTTGGAACGCGATAAAGCAGCGTCGCCATAAGCTTCTAAACTTTTTTGGTCGGCTTCGGTAGCAGATTTCTTCAAATTTAACAACAAAGCTAATAAAGATCGAAAGTGCAATTTTGCAGTGCAATGATTAGCGTCAGCATGGGCTGAATACATCAATATTCAATGGAAAACTACTATTTTATGTACAGAAAAGTTAAAATAACTCAATTTAATCGTTGCATACCCCGGTATTCAGTTATTTATTTATTTCAAGTTGGTTACAAAAACAAATTAAAACTAAAAATATAATAATAACAAAATAACCCAAAACCCTAACCTTAAGCTAACTTTATTATTGATAATAATAACAATAATATAGGAAAACCGTCTGGTGCGGATTTTATCATTCCTGTCTCTAGATGTCGCTGGCCAAAAATAACTGGAAATGGTAATAAAACAAGCAAGAGGCAACGTATCCTCTAAGTCGCATCATTTTCGCATTAGCTTCTAATCATTTTATCATTTTAAACGTTCGGCAAAAATTTCCTTGTAAACGATATTTACCTAACATTTTTGCTAACGATTTCTGCCCTTTTCTCTAAAAATACCGCAGTAATGGATTTGATAAATTTTGTATTCTTTTTCTCTTTTAGATTTTCTTATGAAATTCTTTAATATAAAAAATACATATTCACGTCGTAAATATACTTGCATATATATTAAATATTAACAAGAAGTATAAAAGCTTAATTAAACGGTAAAATAAATACTCTAAGTTCACAAAAAATAAATTTAACGCATTACATACAAGCAAAATACTTATAATAACAACAGAAATATATGTCTATAATGTGAAAGACGTAGAAATTGCTGTATTCAAATAAATATAGTCAGCCAATTTGTAGTTCTTTTACATGGAATTGCAAAATAAAATGAGAAACCATGTTGGCTTTAAAATGAATCTTCAATATACATAAATGCCAAAATGTGGTTTTCAGGTCCGCTCATTTAATACACTCAGATGACTCTGAATCGAGGTGGTTTTCAGGTCTGCTCATTTAATTAATGTCATATGACCGCGAATCGAGCTGGTTTTCAGGCCCGCTCATTTAATTACTCTCATATGACTGCGAATCGAGGTGGTCTTCAGGCCCGCTCTTGTTCGGATTGCAATGTGCTTTGCATTTTTCCTAAGTTAAGTTGTTAAGTTCTTAAACAAAGCACGTGGAAATATGCAAACCTAGAGATATACTTGGAAAAGAATTCCTGAAATATGTGTCTAATCCAGAAGAAAAATTGATTACAAAGATTTTCGATTATTTCTAAGGGCATGTCAATTCATTATTTCATTTTGCAGAAATATGACTATCAACAATTTTCAAGACAAGCGGTGCTCGAGGGTTTTTATTTACATGAACATCTCTTCTAATAAGAACTATTTTTCAGAAATCCATTCCAAATAACCAATTTTCACTAAATTCTTTCAACTGTGTAAAATCTGTATGAAAGATGAGGCGCGACAAAATATGAAGAACACATAGACAATAAAGGAAAAATTATCCAATTGAAGTACAGCAATTTTGATTAGGACACTTTTTATAGAATAATGAAATAGATGTTTTAAGCGCTTCATTTTCAACGTCAGAAAATCAAGCTGGAAAATCAACAAAAGTTTAAACATAACTACATAATATTGGTCTTTCTATGTATGACCTATTTTCTTTTCTTTTATTTTCTTTTTAACAGTTTGTTATTTTCACGAGTAATGAGGTATTAAGAAATGCTAATATGCACGTTGCGTAATAGTATACTTAAAATGCAGTCAAGTATTTAAAACAACAAACATGTGAAAACAGTTGAGACAGAGTATATATTTTTATTGACATGAATTTGTTGTAATAAAAAAAACAAGAAGATGGGTAAAATATACCAAAACTCTCCCATGCTTCAGTTTGATGTTATTTTTCCATAATTTTTCTTGTTTCAAATTGTATAAAGTTGCGAGAGATATGTTGAAATAATATTAAGAGCGAAAAATATTAGTGTGCGTGTAATATGTTTAAATTAAAACTTCGGATCGGATGAATTCAAATTAGGCTGAAATGGGCTACTTTTATTATTATTATTATTAATTTCGCCAGAGAAATAAATTCTAAGACTAAACTCTTTAAAGCACTAGCATCTAAGGCTATCGGCTTTTATTAAAAACTCTACTGCACTTGAGATTCGAACCCACGACCATTGACTTGCTAGTCGAGATTCCTCGCCTGCGGCTACTCAGGCAGATTGGGCTACTTTTAGATTACGAAGGAATGTAGAATGTAATCACACCTCTAAAAGCTAACTTTCGTTTATGACTAAATCGATAATTGATAAACGTTTTTGTTGTGGTCACGTAAAGCTTTCATGTCGTTTTCGTTGCTATCACCCATGTGGAAATGAAAAAGTAGTAAAGAGAAGCAAATTTTTGTTTATATTTGTTTGTGGTTTCCAAAATCCAAAATCGTTAAAATAAACAACAAATCAAATATTGATGAAGTAGCGACTCTCTTTCAACTAAACGGTGGCGTGAACAATTAAAGAGATTCGCAAGTTGGCTGAGAAGGAAATGGTCACTTAGCTTACCATCAGCGAAGTAGCGCGGTAAGCAAACTTTTAATGTGCAATTTTCTGCTTGTAATGAATAGGTTTTATGTGTTACGAACGGCCAGTGTAATGTATGTATCGGTAAAATTTGTGGCAGTGATGCTAAGCGGGATATATTGGATGCTGCTAACGAAGAAATATATCCAATTGCCTACAGGGTAAGAAATAATGCTTGATAATTAACATTCATTCAATTTCTTTTTGTTTTGATTCTTAAGAGAGAGCTCCTAAAGAAGATAGTTTTTGGTACGCCAAAGTCAGCCAGCATTGGATAAATAATTGCCCAAAATTTGCGTTTATGTCTGCCAAATGGCCATAGCATTTCCACACTGGTGCAGTTAAATGTCGCAGATTTTCATCTAGGACAAATAAGTCCGATTACTCAAATAATAAAAGCTTTAAGCCAATTGCACAACAACAAAGATACAAATCTATGGAGCGTTATAGTAAGATGGAATGTTGAATCTATCACAGTTGAGAAGTAATCCTAACTTTGCTGATGTGGTGGTAAATCTGGGCAATAGTGGTGTTCTGGAGCGTATCTGTAACTTGATTTATTCCAACGATGTGAAATTTCGCAATGTCAACGGCATATTGATGAAAACTAATGGTATGAAGACCATTAAAACAATTTACAGGAGTAGAATTCGCTATACTGAATTTAAGAGATAATAAGGTAAAATAGTCTTAAGGAAATAGAAACAGAGATAAAAGTGTGCTGCTAAACTTTAGCATACTAATTTCATGCTCGCGATTTTTTTTTAATATATCGTTCAAGAGTATATGAGCCTTATGGCCGAATTGGGTGAAGGTCTACCTCCATCAGCTCAATCGAAACAAAATGCTGATCCTATGTTTCAAGTACATATCAATAGAGGTTACAACATTTTTGGTAAGAAACCGTCTGCTATGCCAGCTATACAAGCACGAGTACCGAGTCCCGCCCACGACAGTACCGGATTTGGCGGGTGCTCCACCAACACCATGCCACCCAGTTGGGGTGCCTCTAACGGAGCTCCTGCTGTGCGGATGCCGCCATTAATACCACCACTACCCGGCACGGCACCATTGTCAATATGGCCAGCGGCTACTAACATAATACCAAGTTTCCCGACTTGGGAACCAGCACCAGGTGCTTATCCGCCCCCTCCTCCGCCACCTTGCGTACCTCTACCAACAAAAATTAGAGGGCTCGCTCAATCCTCTCCTCTACCTTCTCCAGCTAATTAAAAACTTTCGATACTATTTCGTAATTAAAACATTTGGTTGAAATAACCAACAAACTATAAGGCTCCCATATGTACTTGTAGCTGTCAAATTCTCCCGTCTCAACATTTCTTTTCGCATATTACTTTGTTATATTATAATTTGGTAAACATAAATCGAAGTAATGTATTGTATATACAAACTTGTATCTTAGCTCATACAATTTTTACAATTCTTCCTCGTGCTCATACAATTTTTACAATTCTTCCTCTTGCTCATACAATTTTTACGATTCTTCCTCTTGCTGTCCATCTCAACTAAATCGAAGAAAGCAGTCACCTATTGCTGCAAAAATATCGTATATAAATTAAGGAATTTATTGAAACAGTTTCAACAAAACAAACTCGCATAATATATTTAAAACATTCGGTCTAAACGAAAAATTTCTTAAGGTTTCAGATCATTGCTTTAAATATCAAACTAAATTTAAAAGTTTTACCTCTTTGTCTTCGTCAGGTGTAACATTGGGATTTGTCAATATTATTTTAACAGAGTCGCTGGCGAAAATCGCAGCCCATTATGCAGTCGAGTGTACGTTTCGCACAGACTACGATTTGCTTTCAAGGCATGTTACAATTACAGGGCAGTGTGAAGGTTACCATATGACGTGTTATCATGTTACGTAGGAAAATACAATAAACGTTGCTTACCAATATATTCCGTACAAATCAAATACAATTTCTTTCGTGTTAAATTTGTTTAAAGGAATAGTTGAAATGTTTACAAACCTGTTAGTTCAAGGTCATGTAAATATAAAAGCGGTTTTTAACGAATATAAAATCGAAGATAATTACATACGCAATCGTGATGATAGTTTTTTGTAAACAGTAAAGCACATGTGTTAGTTGCATTAGTTACACACAGGGTCTCACAAAATTCACGCAAGATAGTGTTGAGTAGTAACTAAAGTAAGTAAGATAATGTTGAGTAGTAACTAAACAGACAGGGTCAATTGATAATTTTGCCCTCTCTGGTCTTGCAACACCAAGTGTTGTTGGGAATCCAGGGGCATGACTTCTGCATTGTGGTCAAGAGTTGAACGTTTAGAGAAGCTCCCTACATCGAATTCTAACGAACGATTTGCATCCCATGTTTACGAAGTTCAATTCATTCAAGAATTGATGCCTACTGACCATGCACAGCCATTGGAAATCGATGAATGGACTGTATCGCATCGCCCAATAACTATTCGGTCTGACGCACAAAACTGGATCCATAATTTTTGGATGGCACCAATCTTCAAACGATGCTTTTCAAGATTGCATTAAATTCTGAAAATTAATTTATAATTTACAGTTGTTCCCATGCCGCTGATTGTTTGGACTTTTTTAGCAGCTTTCGGCTGTCTCTGTCCAATCGGCAGATTGAACTTTGGAACTTAGTGATGAACCCGTGTTTCACACATTGTCATATAACGCATTGAAATAACGTGTTTATAGCGCTTACAGCGCTATGTATCATCGACATGATGTTGTCAAAGGTAAAAAAATACCACTTTACACAGAGTTTTCTAATGGACAAAAGTTTATGCCAAATAGTAAATACACTGCCTTCTGATATGTTTAAGATGTTAGCTTTTGGCTTTCGAAAATAATTTTCCGCTACTTTTTTATGTCTTCCGGAATAATTGCCGAATTTTGGGCGTATAAAGCGGTCACCATCAACGGTATCCATGGGACTGTGTTTAAAATTGTCAAGCCATTTAGAAGTTCATTTTTCGACGTGGGTCGCCATAACATTTTCCACATCCACGCTTATAAGGTACTTTCTTTCATCAAAATGCAATGTTTAATTAAAAAACAAAATTCTGAGTATCGTTTTGAAAATAGCAAAAGCAGCTTTACTAAAATAACTTTAAACTAAAACTCGCAAACTAATGGTCTCAACATCTTCAAATGTGACTGAGTATCCTTTGAAGCTGATGCTATTCAGAAATGATGTGTAAGGGAATTTAGTCTGTGATGTTCTAGCACAGTACGAGGATGCTGATGAATACGTATATGCTAGCATGGGTTTTCATGATCATTTGTAAGACATGTTCCTCCGTACATAAACCCTTACGGTATACTTTATGAATCGTTAAAATATTCACGAATTTTAATTAAACGCTACCTTTGTTTTCTTTCAGATTCACTTCTTGATTGAATTTTTGAGCACTTTGTATATAAATTCCGTGAATGATTGCTATTGCAATTGTGTTTATCTTATTTCAGCAATTAATAAAAACTTTTAAAGAAATCAAACTTGATTATTTAATGCACTTGAGTTAATTATACTTTAATTAATTTTAAAGAAGTGAAATAAAAATTCCCACGCTTTGGTAGTTAAAGCGTGAATTGCAATAAGAGTAAAATGCATTGCAACAGAAAATTGTTTCATTAATTATAATTTATTTATACATAGTTTCATTATATACTTATGCAATATGCACGGTAAATGAAAAGGTTATCAGATATTATTAATAAGGTATTTGAAATGAATATATGAAATAGGCAAATTGCAGCATGTCCACGTGAATGCCACATCTGTAAATGCTGGGAATTATAATAATAGTTACCGTAGCGGGCATTTTTGTAACGCATAAAAATATTTTGTAGGATGTTTCTAGACGGCTTGAATACCAGAATCAATTCATTCAATTTGCTTGTTTGTTGAGCGCTTGTCTGCTGAGATCACGATTAACAACGCTTGCTTTTACTTTTTTTTGTTATAGCTCTTGTCAAATTGAATTCAAAATTCAGTGAACTGGGGTCAATCACCCTTTAAGCTAGAGCTTTTCGCTTAGACACTTAAATTAAGTATCAAATTTGATCTTAAATAATTGATCTAAATTAATATGCCTTTTAGTTCTTACGATAGCTTAAGAAATGCTTTAAGATATCTCCTTGAACATTTACGTAAAGAAGCAGGTACCTCATTGCATTTAAACGACCTTTTAGACACGTCTTAATTGGAGTTACCACTGAATAAGGTCATAGATTCAAATCCTATTTTGGTAGCTCGTTCTAAGAAAAGAGCAATTAAATTAGGAGTACGCTAAAGCACTTGTAAGCATTATCCCTATCAGAGTAAGTTTAAAATAAAAAAATTTACTTTGCAAAAAGATTCATAATATTTATTTGCAGTCAAAGCATTAAATAGTCGAATAATAGTTGTGCTACAGTTTGTCTTCTCGGTAGCTGCAGATTTTTTTGTAATTCTGTTATTCTTGTATCCCTTTATTTTGTTGTTTCATCAAGCATGTCGAAGTTAACCAATCTTAACGAACTTCAAAATTTAGCAAAATTAAGCCAAATTATGTATTGTTAAGCTTTGTTAAGCATTGTTAAGCATAAATAAAATGCTGTCAAGTTACATAAAAAATACGATTTAATATATATGCGATTTGTGATGTACGAAAGCCAAATATTTATACTGCAATTAACAATTAAATGTAAGCTGTAGCAGAAGTGAGTATTAAAAAAATTAGCCAGAAACGAATATAACTTCTTCTTAGGTTAGGACTTTTTTTTTGGTAACACACGAGCCGATTTAATTCAGTGTTTGATAAAGAATTGATATCGATGTTCTTATTCAAAAACAAATTAAAAATTAACAGAATTATATTCGGCTACGAGTGAAGGTTTTCTACTGAATACCTGTATGTTCGACACTATAATATTACCTGGCCATTACCGACTTTTAACGTTACCCACGTACAATACCAACCTGCGCGCAGAAATTTCGAAGGTGTTTGAAAAATTCAAAATACTATATGAACTTTGCTCATGTGTGTTACAAACTTTTCGACAAAATGGATAAACTCTTAAACCTTCGCTGATGGGTATAAGTATATTTACAGGTCTCGCGGCTCTAATTGCTTTTTGAGCCTGGAAAAATGGCAATACAATTTAATATTTTGTAAGTAAAAGCATTTGTTCTTTGCAAGGAGCATAAATATGATTTCAACAGACACGAGGACACAAGCAGAAAAGTAAAACGGCACGATTATACACAATGATCAAACAAGCCGATGCATATTCCCCGCTTTACGAAGATTTGACAAAGCTTAACACATTATCTCTATGCTATGGTTGCCACAATAAGAAAAACGTTCAGGAAAATGTAAAAGTCCTGAGAACTTGATTACAAGAAAACACTAACGACCATCTGATCCTTGTTTATGTTAATGGTGATATTGCCCTATGAAACTTTTGTTTCTTACTATTATAACATTTAATTTTTTCCCAAAAAACGCTAAAGATTATAACGCACAACACGCACGATTTTAAATATTAAGCAATTAATGGAAATCAAAAGTTTAATGAGCAATGAATCTTGAAGACGTTTGAAATCTGTAGTTACCTTGGTATTGTAATGAACAATTTGTTTTGCCAACGTTCAACTCCTAACGGCAAATTATTCTCCACAACATATTGTCCTGATTTGATGGCTTTTTGTTCTGCCTCCGGGTTAGGCCAATCAAATTCCATTTGCTTCCATGAAAATTTTTCTTTTAATTTTGCTTCCGCTATTAACACGACAAGAACTAAGGTGAAACATTGTGGTAATATATACATGGTTTATACGATTTAAAACCGACCGAAAATATATTAAAAAAAAACTGATGTGATTTAAAAAAAATTTTCTTATTTCTCAGTTTTTATTTAATGCAAAAGCACAAGAAAACGATTTTATAAAATTTCACTTCTTTTAATAAGTTTTCAAGTCATTCATGCGGCTTAAATGACTCTCGGGTTTGACAGCAGACAAGAGTTGTTCACTGACAGCTCTTGCTTTTAAAACTGTTCAAATTTATTAATGATTTCAAGCTTTTTAAACTAAGCTTTAATGGATTGGAAACTCGCTCTTGAGAGTTTGTGTTTATATATATAATATAAATTAAACGTTTACATATTCTGTAAACGTACTCTTCCGTTAAGCAGGGAACGCAGCACTAAAACATATCATGTACCTGTAAGTGTATGGTCTTGGTAAAGTAAGGTTTATAGGCATATTCTGAGCAATACGATAGAGAAAGTAGAAGTTAGAAGGTAAGTATTTCATTTTAGAGATTCTCGTAAGGTAACAGGATTAATAATAAAAATAATGATAAGAATAATGTATAATATATGTAAACGTAAATAAGTAAAACGTTGGACTGGGCCACGGCCCACCGTAAACTACTTCGGTTAATAATGTCATTATAGATTATTAGATAATATGAGAAGTAACCGAAGAAGCGATCCGATCTGAACCACTTTAAATACCTTGGATCAAAACGAGTCTTTGCACATTTAAAAATAGCGACAAGACTGCAAAGCGGACAGACGGACAGTCACACTTACATTCAGAAAGTGATCTCGAACGGAGGAAAGCTGGGTCCATCTTAAGAGTATAAAAGTACAATTTTATAATAAACTTGATTTTGCAGACTTCCATTATGGCTGTTATTCCGGCATATCAAATTTACAGAAAATAGCTATGATAAAGAAATATAGCTACAACCTCTTATGAAAGGTGGCTGGTCAATATAACGGCATACGACTTTTGGAAACATTTTGTGGGCGCAGACAAAAGGGTCAGAAAAGTTTATAAAATTTTTTTATTGTTATAGCGATACAAGTACAGAACAAATTACACTCTTTGCTCGCTTTAGTCGTAAAGCAGGGAATTTTTCCAATTCTCCCCGCTGTGTTTGTTAGATTTAAATATTTTAATTAATTTTTATAATTTATGTGTTTAGCCTTTTCAATTGTATTTGCATTTATTTTATAACTTTTAAAAAAAATTCATTGACTTTCATTAAGCATCGTTTGTTTATAAACCAAGAAATTTTGCAATTTTCTTCTTCTCCTCATTTTAATGTACCCGTAAAGTTCATATTTATAAAACGCATAAGACGGGGGCCAATGAACCGATTATCCGCACCATTATAATTTTGAAGTAAAAGTTGAACAGACTGCTTTTATTTGTGTTCAATAATGAGATTTGCTAAGGTAATCACCTTAGAGGTTGTAAGAGGGAGTCAACTTTTTAGTGCATTCTACGTGCATACAGCAGATTCGTTCTTTTGATATAAATCGCTTATCCTATCTTGTGTATCGTATTCCGCATATATACAGGCTACTCTTACATTTAGTACATTTATATCTTAGACTAAGTTCAGATAATTAGTAAGATTAGTTTGGTATTTTATGTATATGAGGAGGCCATATTTGGGGCGATTTGGCCAGTGATAAATCCTAATTAGGTTTTTCTGATAAATTTTAGAGTCCTTTAAGACGTGTCAAAAATACAGCTACAGAGCTAAGTAATGAAAATTGTTATAACACTAGTTGCGCATTGCATTATTTCAGTATTTGTACTGTCCTTTTGCATGAGAATTAGTAGCGATTGCACGGTTGTTAATATCGTTTAATTTGAATACTTATCTTACTCGTTTGTCTTTTATTTCGCGATAACTTGGCAAAGACGTTTTTAGTGACCATACAAACCTTAAAAATGTGAGTTCTCTTGGTGTGTTATACTCACTTCGGTGACAAATTCTACTTTGCTTGGGTTCAAAACTAGCTTATTAAGTGTTGTATATTTTGCTGTTAAGTCAACGTCACTATTAGACAACGATCCTAATTGAGAGTCTTCATTGAATGGGTAAGTCAGAAGCGTACAGTAGTTTACAATGTAGTCCAAAATTGTTTAAATCATTCATGTCCAAAGATGCTTTTCAGCGGTACTCCACACTTAGCATCTTTCATGGTAATGCATTGCATTTCATTTTGCTATTGTTCTTAAATTTTGCAAATATGTTAGGAAAGGTTGCTGCAGCCTTCATGCAGACTTATTTTCTAAAATCATATGATTTCATATAAAAAAGCAAAACTTTATAAAACAATTATGAATGCTATAGTCGGACGAAACCGACGATTAGATTCTGTACACCATGCTCCCTAGTCCAGCCTTTCACTCATTTTCCTAATAATATGCGAACAAATGTACTTTAGATATACATTATTATGTCAACGCATAATTTTCATGAAAACATATTCGGAGATACTCAGAGCGTCAACCAGCCTGTCTCAAATTTAGTATTAAAAATTAAGCCTTTTTACCCTATAAAGATTCGCTGTTCGTAGGAACGATTATATGGCAAAGATTTAGAAACATTGTTCTAGCCGAACCAAATTTTTCATACCAATTCAGAGGTATTGTTACTTAGTGACCATATTTTATCGAAGTATCACGGGGTGAGTTATGATTGCTTGCTTCCAATGACTATAGCATTGGGCGGATCCCAACCTTTCTCAAAATTTGTCTATTGCCATTAGGGGAGGATATATATGTCCAATTTCAATTGAATTGGAAAATTAACTAAAATAAATTACGTTTGCGGATAATTAATAGAATTACATACACTTGAATTGATTATCATTACGTTACTAAAGCAGGACTTTCCCTTAATTTTCGCCGTTTTTTCACTTGGAGAGGCATTATTGAGAAAGAATGGTATAATATATATTAATCAAAATATTTTCCATCATTTTCTACGCCATTTTACCATAGTTCTGGCACTCTGTATTGTTGCGGTAATAAGAAGGCGCCATTTCTGGTGAGTACGCTGCGTATGGCAGAACTTCCCATTTGAGGTGCAACAGTGTATCGTTGACAACAATTGCAACAAGAGGCCAAAATGGCATATCCAGTTTATCAGTTTGTGAGGTTGCCATTTTAGCCGCTATTATTGATTTTTTTTGCGGCATTGTCCAATTTATTCACTTGATTTTGGTTAACATCTGCAGTAGCAGTTCTAATCACTTTTAAGAGCTCGTAACACACTACACCGTGCTGGCCACAACATTTACGCAGCAAAACGATCGGTGTCGATGTGGATGGTGCTCCTGGACAAGTCCATGACGTTTTCGGTTGTTATTGTCGTAATAGATCCACTTTTCGTTGGCAGTCACAATACGCTACAGGACACTTTTCTTGTTTCCTGGCGAACAATGAAACCGCGATGTTGAAAGCGTTCGAAATGGCATTTTCATTCAATTTGTATAGTAGACAATTTTCCTCCTTTAGACCTTTCCCATTGTACGCACGTCTAGAAACACTTGATTGATCATCTGCTAAAGTGTCCGAATATTCTGTAAGAGTCTGAGATGTGTTTTCGTCCAATAAGCCTTGTAATTCATTGCCGTCAAACTTCTTTGGTCCTCTAAGCGGTTCTTTGCACTTGACATCATTACCGCCACTTGGAACGCGATAAAGCAGCGTCGCCATAAGCTTCTAAACTTTTTTGGTCGGCTTCGGTAGCAGATTTCTTCAAATTTAACAACAAAGCTAATGAAGATCGAAAGTGCAATTTTGCAGTGCAATGATTAGCGTCAGCATGGGCTGAATACATCAATATTCAATGGAAAACTACTATTTTATGTACAGAAAAGTTAAAATAACTCAATTTAATCGTTGCATACCCCGGTATTCAGTTATTTATTTATTTCAAGTTGGTTATAAAAACATATTAAAACTAAAAATATAATAATTACAAAATAACCCAAAACCCTAACCTTAAGCTAACTTTATTATTGATAATAATAACAATAATATAGGAAAACCGTCTGGTGCGGATTTTATCATTCCTGTCTCTAGATGTCGCTGGCCATAAATAACTGGAAATGGTAATAAAACAAGCAAGAGGCAACGTATCCTCCAAGTCGCATCATTTTCGCATTAGCTTCTAATCATCTTATCATTTTAAACGTTCACCAACTATTGTGTTTCATTTCTTAGTTTTTGTTTGTAGAACAGTCCTTGTTACCGTTATAAGTGCCAAAAAACCGGCGACAAACAGGTGTGTGGGTGGGAGAAAGAAGGTGATAAACTTGATTTGCAATGTTACGCTGGTTAGAAGCAAGTATAATTTATCGAGTCTGTACTGAGTATCTCTTCGTGCTGCAAAGAAAAACAAAATTTAATATAGTTATAACCTCTTGTGATGATTGTATAAAGAGTAATATACCATCTTCAATAGATTACATTTCCACTATTTCATATAGGTAAGCAAAAGTTTCGAAATAATAATAAATATGACTACATGTGGGCACGGTGTTTACAGTCGGATATTTTTATAATATTGTTATGCTACATTTTTGATCTAACTTCTATTATTTTTTAGATTAATACCTATTCTCATTTGAATGTTAGAAAAAACTTGTCATTTTTATGCGATTATTTTACTGTTCAAGAAAACTTTTACGTTGTAGGGCACATTAAGCAATTTATGTAGTCAGTCTCCGAAGGTTTTTTTAATTTTTTCAAGTTTGATACCTACATCTTTATTTTTGTATATACTAGCGAAAAAGACGAGTGTATACATCTTATTTATACGTTTGCAACGAACAGAAGGATCCCATAAATTGTATGCAATCTTGGTCAACATTAAGATCCTCATCGATTTGATGTCATCCATCTGTCCATCCCTCTACCCATTTAAGAGCTATTTTGCTCATTCGACGTAAACTGTAACAAACACAATGAAGAAAATCGTTTGCAACGTTATAGAATATGAAAATTTAATTTTTTTCGTTTTTTTAGTAAGGCTGGTGGGGATAAACAATTCGGTCATGACGGAATATAATTCAACCGAATTAATGAAATCATCACTGTAGACCTATTCAGGAGCTCTTAATTTGTTTACTTGTGTCAGACGCAGCCATTACCTTTTTCTATTAAAAGGCAATGATGATTAAAGTGAATACGTTGGGGTAGGGTCATACAAAGCTGCTGTGTACACAAATTCTCGTG